GAGAGAGAGAGAGAGAGAGAGAGAGAGAGAGAGAGAGAGAGAGAGAGAGAGAGAGAGAGAGAGAGAGAGAGAGAGAGAGAGAGAGAGAGAGAGAGAGAGAGAGAGAGAGAGAGAGAGAGAGAGAGAGAGAGAGAGAGAGAGAGAGAGCTCGGCGTCACTCGCGACTCGCACCCTCAGACTGTTTGGCGGTCCGCCTGAGCCGGTAAAAACTCCGACCGTCGATAGACTCACCAGTAATTGGACCCGACGGATGCACCGACCGGCCATCCACATCAAGATCAACCGAAGCGGAAAACCCTACCGCGGTGCAAACATACCGAATGGAAGTTGAACTTCGCGGAGCATCAAAGGAATCGCTCACCCGAGACCGTTCAGTGCGCGTTGCATGACGCGAAAACAAGTCGCGTGCAAGCATGATGCTACTTACGTTTTTGTGAATTAGTCATTGATAATTAATCTTGACGTATATCAGGCAAAATGAGACGTTTAAAAAGAGGGCTGTTATCAATTTCTCAGCAGACACAATGCTGTTTGTGAGCCTGATAACGGACGGCTTTGATCGGTGAGTGAGTCGGCGCAGGAATTGTGCCTAGGTAGAAAGGGGAGTGTAAACGGAGCAGTGTGAACGGGACAGAATGACAGCACGGGACGAGTAGAGTCACGGAGCGCGGCCGGGCAGAGTGACGGAGCGCGGACCAAACAACGAGTCACCGGCTCACTCGAGAAGAGCGTGTCCCGTCTAACGATGTCGAGAGCTCGTGAGTGAAAGGGCGCGGTCGGCACGGCACGAGCCAGCTAACAACTGGAACAGACAGTCCAGCGCATGCCAATGGCACAAGAAAGCCGGACCGAATCGCCGCTCGCTGTGTCCGCTCGCCGACGGCCGTCGCTGTTCGCCGGCTCGGTAAAAACCGGCAGCGCCGACAGCGCCGACAGTTGCCGATGCAGCTCCGACAGCGGCCGACAGCAGCCGATGCAGCTCCGACAGCTCCGACAGCTCCGACAGCGGCCGACCGCAGCCGACAGCGCGGCCGCCGCGATGGCCAATGGCTGTCGTCGGTCCGGCCGCTGTTCGGTGGACATTTTGTGACCGTTCTCGATGGCAGCCCGTCTGGTCGAGACCGCGGACGGGTGACTGCCGCCGCCGCCGCCGCCGCCCCTGATCGGTAGTCAGCTCACGCGCGCGCCGGCCGCCCAAAATGGAGGCGGCGGCGGCGGCGGCGGCGGCGGCGGCGGCGGCGGCGGCGGAGCGACCATCTGGCCGATCGCAGCTCCGCGACCCGGCGACCGCACCGGGCCAAATTGGAATAGCTGCTGACGACGCGATCGCCAGATAAGGCGACTCTCGCCCGAGTGCTGATCACATCCAGTCATTAGTCGGCGTCTCGGGTCGAGCGGGCCGAGATCTGATAACGGTGGCGCGTCGGGCGGCCGGCTACCGGGCCAGCCGGGCCGGCGACTCTGGCTGCTCTGAGGCGACTGGTCACTGGTCGCTCTGGGATGACCCGATCCCAATGGGCACTGGGGCGACCCGATCCGGCCGGACATGGGGTGAAGTGCGAGCTTGCGCGCGATTGGGGAGCACTGACTGATCAAGAGAAAAGTAGCCCGTCAAATACTAACATAACGCTTTTCAGCGCATGAACAATAATATAAGGGAACAATACAAATTGCCAATGGCAAGTTGGCAACTCCCTTAAAAAATTCTGGTGGCTTGATTGATATTTATGAGAAGTGACGCTAATCCTGCTTGGCCTGACTTGATACCTTTCTCTAGGAGAGAACGTGATCGGACGTCGGCGGAAGATGTCCTTGCGTATAAAGTGCACGTCATACTGAGTAAAATGCGGACGCGGTCCACAAACAAGCACAAAGATTCGCAACACTTGCACTAAGAGCGGTTTGAGCGAGTCACGTTGACCGTTTTACGCTGAAGCACGTTGTAATTTATGTGTTACATACGCAATGCGAAGTATGATTAGTGATTACCAAATACGTTGTTATCACGATCATCGTTTTTCTTTGTCATGACGTTAATCAGCGATGAAGATCTTTTTTATGTCTGTCGGTAAAAACTGCATTCGTTTATTGTGACTCTTCCCGGCCACAATCACGACCCGTCGGTGTGCCTAATTAAAAGGTTTTGTTCCGATGCGCTGTGCTCATTTTCCATTGACCTCATTACGCTGCCGTCATCCCAGCTCCCTTTCCCGTACCGTAAACCGGGGTAAGTTGATATGGATTTTGAGGTTTTTCTAGATTTCTTTAAAAGTCACATTCATTTACGGAATTCTTTTTGTGCCAATTTCATGGCACATGCCTTGGGGAGGCAATAAGCAAAAATGAATAAAAAATGTATATATTAAGCCCCTTTTTTAAAACGCCAAAGTTCATATCAACTCACCCCCTGGGGGGTGGTGAGTTGATATGGTTTTGGATTTTTCAAAATTTCTCGGCTAAAGAAGCTCAGAGGTGAGTTGATAAAATGCCAGTGTTTAAAAAAAGGATGTGAGAACACATCCTAAAAGAAACCATCAAAAAAATGGTAGTAGTTTGGCAGCAGACCTCACATTCATGAAAACGCAATCATGTCCAACACAGCGCTATCAAAATGGCTTTATTTTAGCAGCTTCATTTTTTCGCTTTATGATATTTAGTTTTACTTAGAACATTCTGAACTTGGCTAGTCACGTGTCCTCAAGCCAACGGTATCAAAACTGGCAATATATTTTGGAATTACAAGTGTATTTTCTTGTAATTAAAACACATTGTCAGTTGCGGGTCAAGGTTGATATGCCTCTGACAGAGATAATGGATTGAAATGAAATAATACATATACTTCTGAGCTTTTGTTGACTGGTAGTCAACAAAATATTAATGAAGTGAAGTGAAGCGAATCTAATTCGGACTGTATTCTATAAGGTGAAATAAGCGACATAAAACAAAATTCGGCATCAAAAGCCAAAATTAACCCTCGCACTTATAGGCGGGTGAACGGACCACCTCGGCTTTTCGCACATAACTCGCGCAAAAAGCGGCCGATCACGACGAAACTTCCAGTACCTCTCGAGTTTATCAATTTTACACATGTTCTAAAGATTTCATGACCCTGACTCAAATGGTTTTTGACTTGTGACCTGATTCTCGAGACCAGGCTTGGCCGGAATCGCGATTTGGCGTAGTCAGCTCACATTATCAGCGCATTTCCAGTCTTTTTGTGATTGTAACGTCCAAACATGTAAATGATGTTGGTCCCTGGATGATGTTGGATGTTGGTCCCGCAGTATGTCAACTGTCAAGGTCACCTGAAGGTCAGGTCAGGTCATTGACCTTTGGTGACCTCGGTTCACTTTTTGGAGTTTTACATGTTTCTAGGGTAGTTTTTTCGGGCCGATTTCGAATTTAACATGCATTTGATCATTTATGAAGTAGTTTTAGTGCCTTCGTAACATGTTACGACACCGTCAGTGGTAGCTGACACTTGACACTCCCTATGGATAGTCGGCAGGACACCTACTGGTTGACCTGACCTGACCTGACCTGGCCTAAATGTACGAAGACACCTGTGCTCAAAACTAACATGACATTCGTGATCAGCAACAGCCAAAAATAATAAACTCGCTTTACGAACTTCAAATAACCCCCTATTTTCCCGACTTCTGGGTAATTGACCTGGCCTGGAAGGTTAACCAATGACCTAGGACCTTAAAGTTGGTTATCATCGGCTTCCTCGCGTCTCGGGCAACACGCTCATTTTTTTTCCGCGAAGCTCTAGCTCCACCAGGGACCAAACGACGATGGGATTCCAACGGACCCCCCCCCCCCCTATACGTTAAACGCTGGCAAAACACGAATACGGGCGAGGGCTAAACGCCAGTCAATTTCTTATATTGTTTGTTCCATTTCATTTTGTCACTCATTCTCGGTTGGCAACTGCCAAGCAGGAAAACTAATCAGTTTCACGAGATCAGAATTCCCGCGCTGTTAGCAATACAGAAATGACAGTTCTGTCATTTTCGAAACTACGAATAATTATAACAGCTTTTAATCTGTATGTAATATAGGTGCGTTGGGAATGTATTAATTCCGTGGACAATTTAGAGTTCCCGCCTGAATTTCATGGACATTATGGGATTCATGGACATCGTCATGTCCACGAATTTATTTCTGTAGTTTCGCTTCGCTCCGTGGACAATGGTTTGCATGACGTATGGACAGACTTTTCATGGACATGATGTCGTGTCCATAAATTCACACCCATTTTAGCCCGCTCAAAGATGTCATAGCTTTTTTTAACACCACGTGGCGCCCCAATCGACCGAGTATGTTACTCTGCCTCTGATTGGTCAGCTTGTGCAAGGTCGTTTTTGATTGGTTGTTGAAGTCGTGTCCACGCAGTGCTCTTGTTCTGCTAACTTTGTCCATGCAATGTTAGGAATATTTACAAATTTTGTGACGTCATAGCAGACAGCTGGCTTATTGTTCGCGAAACGACATGTGGGAGACGTTGAGACGACGCCGGCCATGCGCCATTTCAATTTCAGTTATTGTGCAAGGCCGAGTTTCTTACTGTTTTTTGACACAGCATTGGTGTATGTTGAAGTCGGCATTTTCGCTGGAGTGAAGATTAGTGAGTTTTGATTTCGTTGGAGAGGAATATGAAAAGAAAGGTAAGTTGTGAACTTGCACATCTGTATGATCTCAATATTGGGGGCAAAGTGATAGGTAACGCAACAGAAATGTCCAGGCCAGCTACCCACCAGGCTGAAACAAATGGGCTGCAAGAAGGAAAATAGTTGAAAATACCCATTCACCTGGTAGTGTCTGTACTGTTGGTAGTGTTGATGGTAGTGTTTTGACGGGATTTTGGCAGAAAATGTTGCTAGAACAATGGATGAATACCATTCGTACCTATGATGCGATTGAAGGGATGGTACCTAAACCAGCAGGCAATGTAGGTCAGAAGTTAGGTAATTTAATTACCTGGACATTTTCAAATGCCTAGGTTTCAACTTTCCTTGATACCCTGTTTTGGGCAACAAGAACATGCCTGGTGTGCGGACAGACATGGAACGGGGGCGGCGAAGGCAGTTGCTCCCCAACTTTGAAAGCGGGGGGGGGGGAGCAATGATCACCAACTTGGGCAAAAAATAAATAATTTGCTGGTAGAAAGTCAATGAAAAATCTAGAAGTTTTCAGAATTTGTCTCAAAATGCAAATTGTCACACCCATGGGAACAGCGATGCAGCTGGGCGCTGGCCCTCCGACTTTGAAAGCACGGGGCAGTGCCCTCCCAACTTCAAGAGAACATTTGGTAGTTGATGTTGAAATTGTCAAAGTTTGGGTGGTGTACCTGTGTTTTCACACATTCCTCTGCTGGTAACGAGTGACCTTGCCTGCCGTCTGCACCTGTACTCAACATTTTTCCGAGTAGACTGTTTATCATTGTCTTGGTGACCACACTTTCAACTAACTTGAAAATCGTTCTTATGTCACTGTGTGCAGAAAACACCTGGATAGAATATCTAACCTCCTTAGACAAAACATTGATTCTTATGTGTCAAAGGCACATGTGAACTGTGTAGGGATTGCATGGCCTGTAATTTGAATTGATATTCATTTGTAATTGAGATGTTCTTGGAATATGTTGTAGCTCATACAATTGTGAGAAGAATACTTTCTCAATCTTTGCCTAATATTACTTAACAGAGACAATTATACCTGGGCAGCTGGAGTTTTGAACACATGGAACTGTGGCGAGCTTGTGGTATTGAGTGTTGAAAAAAAAAAACTTCTGGAAATGTTAGTTCATTATAATATTTTTTTTAGCACATTAGCAGGGGAGCACAAATATGAAAGCAGAACTGAAGTTGTTCAACTAGTTTCCAAGTAAGGTCCCAAAACCATTCTCTGAAGCGACATGGCTCGGCTGACCACCTATTGGCTTGAGGTTATTCTATTTAGCTGGGTTTTGTTCTTAGCATTTTGCTATGGCTATTTTTCATCCTGAATCCAATTATGAAGTTACCTTTTTATTTGCTCAATCACTGGTGAAAATAACTAAGTAATTCTGGGGACTTGCAGCCTGCAAAAAGTAAAGAGTGGGGATATGAAAAAATTGGTGCTTACCTAATATGGATTTTTAGTACCTACCTACTATTCTTGCTACTCATGAACATAGAAGGATGAATCTGAAAGCGGAATTGGAATTGGTCAGTAGTTTTCAAGTAAAGTCCCCCAAACCAAGGCCGTATAAGAGAGGTAGAATCATCCCGCAACATCCAATGGACCGGTCGCTGAGCATTAGCGTGACGTCACTGGTGGAGACCGCGCGGCGGCCGGCTCCAGGCAGTAGGTACGGCGAGTACGTGTGGCATAGTAATTATTATTACTAAACGTAACAACAAATGGTTCTTAATTGCTTTTTACGCTCCTACAGTTCATTTCCTTGTCGGCATGTTGCCGACCCAGGTCCCAGGGTTGACAACTATGGGCTATGGATCGAATGGGTCACCTTGCGACGGGAGCAGGAACAATTGCATTGTGTTCCGCGACGCCAATTGCATTCTCTTTGCACCCAGTGGCGTAGCCAGGGGCAGGGGCACGTGCCCCATCGGATTCAGAGGGCTCCTCGGGCCCGAGGGGCATCGCGACGCCAATTGGCCGCTGAGGGTCCACGTTTGCAATCTTCCGTCTCAGAAGGGTCCATTGTTGGAATTGTCGTTTTCGGTTCTGGTCCTGGATAATTAAATCTGCCCGGAGAACCGGCCAGCTTTTTAAACTATCAACCGCAGCACCGGATGGTTACGTTACAGATGACCCTAAGTTGACCTCTGTAACCTGATGTCCCAATTGACCTTTGTGACCTCCAATAGAGCTCTGTGATGACGCCAAGTTGACCTCTGTGACCTGACGTGCCCCAGATGACATCCGTCACCTCCAATTGAGCTCTCAAATGACCCCAAGTTGACCTCTGTCACCTGACGTGTCCCAGATGACCTCCAATTGAGCTCTGTGATGACCCCAAGTTGACCTCTGTAATCCGACGTGTCCCAGATGACTTACGTGACCTCCAATAGAGCTGTGTGATGACCCCAAGCTAACCTCTGTGACCTGACGTGTCCCAGATTACCTCCGTGACCTCCAATAGAGCTCTTTGATGACCCCAAGTTGACCTCTGTGACCTGACGTGTCCCAGATGCCCCACATGACCTTCAATTGAGCTCGGTGATGACCCCAAGTTGACCTCTGTGACTTGACGTATTCCAGATGACCTCCGTGACCTCCAGTTGAGCTCTTTGATGACCCCAAGCTGACCTCTGTGACCTGACGTGTCCCAGATGCCCCACATGACCTTCAATTGAGCTCTGTGATGACCCCAAGTTGACCTCTGTGACTTGACGTGTCCCAGATGACCCCCATGACCTCCAATAGAGCTCTGTGATGACTCCAAGTTGACCTCTGTGACCTGACGTGTCCCAGATGACCTCCGTGACCTCCAATTGAGCTCTTTGATGACCCCAAGCTGATCTCTGTGACCTGACGTGTCCCGGATGATCCCCAATTGAGCTCTATGATGACCCCAAGTTGACCTCTGTGACCTGACGTGTCTCAGATTACCTCCGTGGTCTCCAATTGAGCTTTGTGATGACCCCAAGTTGACCTCTGTGACCTGACGTGTCCCAGATGACCTCTGTAACCTCCAGTTGTGAACCCCATTTCCAACTCACTTACCTCTCTGTGACCTCAAACTCTCTGAACTCATTTCTCCTAAAGCACCGCTTCTGGATACCCTATAGCCACGCATCTCCTGTGATCGATCCCAAATTTTATGCCAAATCACGTGAGCGTTAGCAACCACAACTCACCCAGTTGATACAAAGCTTCAGAATCAGGGAACATGCTTGACCTGGCTGTCTCATAAGCTCGCAAACCAGAAGGGCGAATGGTCCTTTATGCGTGATAAGAGTTTCGACCTTACTGACGTTTACTACGGGATCAGCTGATCGTGTAGCATTTTAAATTCTTGAGTAAAGCGGGTATTTAAGCCTTGTCGCAGCTACGTTCTGTCGTATCCTCCGACAGGCGACAAGCCCCTCTTTCCTCAACATCCCTCCTTTTTCGCTACGACACATTTTGCGACGGAACACGTTTAGTTTTGTATTTAAATAAAAAATAAATATTTTACTTAAAAAATGACTGAAAAAGTGGGAGCCATGGCCGGCCGCCCCCCCCTGTTCCTATGCCTATGTGACAACACAACTGATAAAATGTGTTACTCTGACACGTTTCAAATGTCATGACTCATGATAGCAGTTTTTCATGACACAGGCTGGAAAGCTTAAAAGGTTTCGGGCGCCGGAGTACAAGTTTGTAAAGGAGAACAAAATCTTTTGGACCCGACTGGGACCAGAAAAAGGCCTCATTCACCGCTGTCTTTCACACAGGGCTCGCAAGAGCACCTCATGGGCTCGTAAATAGCCACACTAATCTGCATAAGAGCCCCACACCGGCTTCTTAGAGCCCTTTGTCGGCCTCTGAGGGCCCCTTGGCGGCCTTTGAGGGCCCCTTGGCGGCCTCTCAGGGCCCCTTGGTGACCCCTGAGGCCTGAGGGCACCTTGGCGGCTTCTGAGGGCTCTTTGCAGGCCTCCGTGGGCCCCTTACCGGCCTCTCAGGGCACTTACCAGCCTCTTAGGGTCCTTACTGGCCTATTAGGGGTCAGCAGCTTCAAGGGTCCCACACCCGCCTGTGGCCTCACACCAGTTTCTATGAAGGCCCCATAACGGCCACTGTGAAGGCTCCACACGGTGCCTCTAAGGGCCCCACACTACCACCTCTGAGAGCCCAACACTAGCACCCCTGAGGGCCCAACTAACAGTGTTTCTGAAGGTTACAAATCGGCGGCTCTGAGGGCTCAACACCGGCGCCTCTGAGGGTTCATCACCTGCGCATCTGACGGCCACCCACCGGTGACTTGAGGGCCCCACACCGACGACTCTGAATTTTCATCAATTTGGCAACATATTCAGATTCAGATTGATATTCGATATTAAAGTGACCATCCCACCTTAACATTAGTTTTGAGTTGAGATAGCCTAGTTTGCGGCCAGGTTCAGAAACCACCATCTATCCTGGTCGCAACCCCCGCAGCTTCGTGGTGTTGAAGAAATTTGTTCCATTCAGTTGCAGAGTGGGACTAGCTTGTCCCTATCTCTTAACCATTAACAGACTCTGATGACGTCATGAGCCCTTTGAACGCGCCCTATGCTTTCAAGCAAAAATAAAAGTCTTATGTCAAAAAAAAAAAACGGGTGAATATTTTTGGGTGAAACTTGGTAGATGTTTATTTTCGCTCTTTCTGATTCACGGTATATCACTTTTATGTCAATTCATTAACTTTTATGAAGGTGGGAGGGTCCCTTTAATGGTCTGCGGACTATTTAGAATTACTTAAAAACAATTTGACTATACAATTTGACCTTCCCAATTCAATGAGCATAAAATCTAAGCGCGGCACGGTCAATTTGCAGAGCGTTCCTTAGGTCAAAGTTAAGTGGGTCATGTACTGCGGACTATTTAGATTCCTTCAAAAATGATTTTGACTTCATTAATTTTAATTTCTAGCATAACTTATGCCAATGTTAAGCGCGGCACGCCCATAGGCGCGGGAGCCGGGGGGCAGTGGGGGCAGTTTGCCCCCCCCCCAACTCTGGGGCCGTGGGGGCGGTGCCCCCACAGCTTTGAGACGGAATACCACACTTTTTTGCAAATGTCTTCTTTTTTTGTTGAAAAAGCCGAGGGGTGAAAAATAAGTGGTGAAAAATAAAAATAATAATAAAAAATAATAATAAATAATAAAAATAAGTTCTCACCTAAAACCGGTGAGAAAACTAGATTTGGGGGTACCCTAGGTTGATCTCTATTATGGTGTGCCCCCCCAGTCGGAAAGAAGTTCCCGCGCCCCTGGGCACGCCTCACCAGCGAAGTTTTCGTTGACTTCAAATACAAGTTCATTAGCACTTTACAGTTTAGGGACTATCTCAAATTTCGTAAAAATGATTTTGGTTATACCATTTTGCTATTAAGTCAATAAAAATAAAATGTTAGCCTGCCTCTGTCTTTCTGCCTCTGTCTGCCCTTCTCTGCCCTGCCCTGCCCTTCCCTTCCACTCCTGTCAGCTCCTGTCAGCTCTGCTCGCTAAGTCAGCTCTGCTTTGTCTGCTCTGCTCTGCTCTGCTCTGTCTGTCCTGCCCTTTATCATTCTTATTTATTCATGCCCTGCCTTTTTCCTTTGCATACCGTTCGCCGCCCGCTCTGTGGACGGCGCCCGGCTGCTGGGGCTCACCGAATGGGCTATGGAAGACGAACCCGGCGTCGTCGAGAGATTCGCCTTGTTAGCTGTGAAGGTGGATGTAACTCTATTTTTTATTGTTAACCTGATTTATTTAGATTTATTTATTTATATAAATCGTATTGCCATCATTAACGTGACTCATGGCTCGTGATTGTGGTTGCCTCAGTTGTAAGTCTTAAGTGTATCGCATTTTGACAGGTCTCGACGTGGCTCAACTTTGGAGCCAGCGTGTTGGGTCCCGGCTTCCCGCCATTCACCGGCGGACCGTTCCGCTTCGTGGACCGCATCGGCCCCGCACAGCTGGTCAAGGGCATTAAGCGCTTTGTCGCTGTCTACAGCGTCGGATTCGAGCTGGTCGGGCACAAGTCGCGCTCTCCACGTGACCGAGCCCGCCCTTAGGCGACCGATGCCCGCCAACCGGCCGCCGCGCGGACGGAGGTGACGCTGCCGGCCATCGAGCGGCTCATCGAGGCGGGCAACGCTCGGATCATCGAGACACTGGAAAAGAGACTCGCCCAGTAGGAGCGGAGAATAGAGATCCTCGAGGCAGAATGTCAGGAGACAGATGTCATGATGATCCGCCGGGAAATGACATCCCAGAAAGAGGAGACCAGGGAGCTTAAGGAAAAGGTCGACGGAATCAACAGAAACCGGCGCATGTCCTCACTTATCATCACGTGTGAGGAATTCGGTGACAGGAAGCCCGGGGAGGACATTGAGCTCATGACGGTGCAAGCGCTCAACAAGCGTTTCCCTGACTTGAAATTAACGACAGGTGACATCCAGGTCGCCCATCGTCTTCAGGGGAATGGTAAAGTGATCGCCAAGTTTGTCAAACGGACAGTGAGGGACGAACTGTTTGAGCAACGGTTCGAGCTGGCCGGACGGAGGGGCGGTGCTCGACCGGGCAGGTGGAGTGCGTCAGGTGGCTGGGAGATGGAAGCACTTTACCTCAGCGAGTCTCTGACACCCGAGTCCCAGCGCATGTACAATCTGCTACTCACTGCGCGTAAACAAGAATGAGGATCCAAGGTGGCATCAGTTTTTACCAGGAGAGGCTACGTTTACTGCAGGAAGGTGAAAGGCGGCGAGAACATCCGGATACAGGACTGGTGTCACCTTCAGCGCATCGTGCACACTGCATAGCAGTCCGGGTGGGTCGCCGGTGGCGGCGGAGGCGGCTGGCGCGCCGGGCGGCGGGCGGCCGAGCGGCCCGCCCGCCCGGGATCGGGCGGTGCCGCGCGGTTCCCGGCCTGCCCGTGAGGAGCGGAGCGCCGCCCGGCCGGGACCGGCGCCGCCGCTCTCCCCGGGCGGAGCTGCGGGGGAGCCGAGCCGGCGCACGGTAGCTGCTGGTGCACCTGCACCGGGTACAGGGCCGGAGGCGAGCAGCAGTGATCCGGTAGGTGCGACACGTGACCGATGTACGGCCGAGCGGACGGGTCGGGCGGGGGCGGGGCCGAGCTCGGTCGGGGGCTCCGGCTCCGGCTCCGGCTCCGGCTCTGGCTCTGGCCCTGGGCCGGCTCTGGACACTGTCCGGGACGACTGTCAGAGCTGTCCCCCGCTGAGCCGAGTAGAGTCTGGCTGTGATCCCCTCGCCACGGGGTGAATTTGAATGTATCGGGAAGTATTCACTCTAGAGAGGGGGCGAGTACACTCATGTCCGTTCGCTGTGTGATAAATGACGGCACTTCAGGTGCGTTCCTTGTCTGGCGGGGAGGTGTGCGGGATAACCGTGAGGTTTTGGGGCAGGGTTGATTAGTGTCACTTATAAGTGGGATAAGGGTGGCAAAATCGGCTGAGTGGGGAAGAAAGACTATGATCAGGGATTTGCCCTTACATGATAAATAAGTGAGAAAGTGCATTTAAAGTTATTACACGAATGAAAGTTTTGAACACCGTGCAATGTGCATTGTTAGTAGAAGTTTTCTCTTTCTTTTTCTCTTTCTGTTGCCGGCTACTCGTGCGGTCGGCTTGAACTGATTAAAGGTATGCACTTTCATTACAGCTATTCAAGCCAGCATAAAGTGTCCCGGAGAATCGAGATGGTAACGAGAATCGAGTTGGTAACGTTGATCGCCTTAGGAAATGACCAGTGGCTCATGCAGGTACCGGTAAATGTCTATTATCATTTGATTGTTCACCTGGAGAACGGTGACGTGTCACCCCGCAGACACTTGATGATGTGGGAAGCTTGAGAGAGCAGCGGTCTCGCCGCTTGCCGCCCGTGGCCCGCCCTTTGTGTGGCCCACATGTGATATTACCGAAAGGGTATGCATGGGAAGCAGCTCCGCGTGTGTGCCAGTGCTATGCGTATTCAGAGAAAAATATATTCTGGTGGTCAAGCTAGAGTTTTTGAAGAGGTTCTTAAGGGATCAATATGTTCCAATACTCGTTCTAATACTCCGAACACCCGTATGTGGTCCAAGAGTTGAGTTAGAGTGGGGGGGGGGGGTGTTCACAGTTAAGCAGCCCCTCCAGCAGTGGTGCGTCCCGAGCGGGGGCGGTACAGACGCAGCTCGCCGCCCAGAAAACCGAGACCACCACACCGGCCGGGCCGCCGAACGACAGACACGACACCGACTCCTCGTGGCCATGCAGCGTGCTGCCGGCGAGAGGTCACGGGCAGGTCACTCATAATGTACACGCAGACAAGACGGAGCAGACAGCAGAGCGGAGCAGAGCTAACGGAGAGCGGAGCAGAGCTAACAGAGCAGAGTAGTGTAGAGCAGAGCTGACAGAGCAGAGCAGGGCAGAGCAGAGCTGACTTAGAGATGACTTATGGAGCAGAGAGCAGAGCGAGCGAGCAGAGCGCAGCAGAGCAGAGCTGACTTAGAGAGATGACTAACAGAGCAGAGGCTGACAGAAGACAAGACACGCAGACAAGACAGCAGACAGAGCAGACAGAGCAGAGCGGAGCAGAGCCAACAGAGCAGAGCAGTGAAAAGCAGAGCTGACAGAGCAGAGCAGAGCACGGTATGGCAGGGCAGAGCAGAGCAGAGCAAGAGCAGACTTAGATGACTTACAGAGCTGACAGGAGCTGACAGTCGACAGAGCTGACAGACAGAGCAGAGCAGACTTAGATAGATGACTTACAGAGCTGACAGGAGCTGACGTCGCCTTGGCACCGGCATCGAAGTTCCAGATCGCGTTGTGAACACAGTGTTAGTCCGAATGACTGGAAACTTTCAGTACCTATATGTACGAGTACAGGTATGGAAACCTGCAAAACTTTTATCTCAGATTTCTCCTTTTCGTGACCGCGGGTCAGGTCTTTTTGACCCGCTCCCATGATAAGCCAATGGTATTTTTTTTTGCACATAACAATCAGTGTAATACACGAATGAAAACGGCACCAATATGCTTTTCTCGTCACTCCGGATAGAATGATATGCAACATGACCTACTTGACCTGACCTGACCACTGACTTGAAGTCAAACTGATATTAATCCTTGAAGGTCAAGTATTTTTCGTAAGTTATTTGTTAGCTCCACCGATAACCTCATACCACAAATGTCTTTACATAATCAGCAACTTTTAATAGTGTTCGTTTGTTCGATTTGATGAGTAAAACATCGAAAGCTTTTTGCAAAATAGAATGTAGTTGGGTATGGGTTAGGCAAACAACACGAAGCAGATAGCCTCGGTTTCCTTTCTCTCTCGATCCGAGCATCGGTTCTTAGCAGATTATCCCGTCAGTAAAATATCAACCTTTCTAAGCCCGGTATAAGCCCGATCCGCCGAAACGCTTTGTAAGCATTCTGACCTTAGTCATCTTGTCCGATGACCTAGGTAGTTATTCACCACGGAGGGGCGTGTAAAATAGAAAGGCGTTGATGTCCACAAAATATCAAGAAACTTTAAAACCTGTAGGTAGTAGTTGGATAAACGTGGACAAATTAGGCTCCGCCCACTTGTCCACAAAATGTTCCTTTGTACCCGACCTCTGTCCATGGAATGATAAAAAATTCTTCTTTGTTATTTGAAGAGATTTGTGCACTCCTTTGGCATCAAAGTGTGGCCCATACTTCATTTAATGTACCATAGTAATATCTAGGGTCTCCTGAAAGGGTTAGGGAAATATGCATGTAATTCTAAATGTCCATAAATAACAAAAAATGCTTATGTCCACAAATGTAAAAATACCAGTATGGGTGTTCTATAGTGTTCCTTTGTAGCTTGTAGGGAGTCATCTTGAACTTGACAGGGAGTTGTGCTGTGCCTTTTGCACGTTAGGTATGTCCAAAAAAAAACTTTGGGTGTTACTGATGTTAGTTGTCGGACATTCGTCCACGTCTTGAGTTGAGATTTAGTTTCACAACGTTTCGGCCAGTTCTCTCCGGCCGTCGTTACTCGTCAGGTGTTCTTTGACCCTCAAAGGACCTGGATGTTGGTGGCGTTGCGCCGTACGCGTCAAACGTTCGAAAGCTCCTGTAGTCAGCGGAATCGAGCTCGGTTTCCCCGGTGATGGTCCACGGTTGTAACCACTCCACTATCGAGGCAGATTTGACTACGGCCGGAGAAGTTACTGGCTGAAACGTTGTGAAACTAACATCTTAACTCAAGACGGGACGAAAGTCCGACAACTAACATCAGTGATACTAACAGGCCTCGTCTCAAGCATTCAGAAAAAAACTAAAGCTTTTGGGTTGATGGAATGATGTGGGGAAAGAAAAGGAGAGGAGTTGGTCTAATTGACTTTGTCTTACCTGCAGACCCATATTTCATGCTAATTTGCGTGCCTACCAGCCTGGTATCAGCCTTTATCATGCATATCAACTCACCACCTGATGGCATATCAACTCACCACCTGTCACTTTTCTTAAAATTATAAAAAAAGCGTTGTTATAGGTGAAACCCAAAACTACCTGGGATCAACAGTAAATTGATGGTAGTTTCTTTTCCAGTGCATGTTGTTTCATGAATATCCACTGTCTTTGCTGTAGGGTGGGGACTTTTCCTTAGTTTCAAAAATCAGAAGAAAAAAAGGACTTTGAAAAAAGTAATGTGTTAAGAAGGCACTGCACCACATGCTGCCTTTCTCAGCTATATGCATCACTTATTGGTTGCTTTACTTCACAGAAAATAAAACTGAAAATTGGTTTACAAATGGATGAGCAGCACACATTTTAACATTTTTCGAGCAATTTATATCAACTCACCACCCCATATCAACTCACCCCGGTTTACGGTACTTCCGGCACGGCTCGTCCAGGCGCGGCCGTTCTCTCTACGCTGCAGGCGGCCGAGCTGACCTGCGTGACCCAGCCTGCCAGCCTGCCAGCCGGCCGGCCGGGCGGCCGGCCGAGTTCCCATGTGGCCCGTATTAGCGTCAGCCCTAATCGTGTTTGGTTTGCGTGCTAATCGGCCCGGCCGCGGCCGGCAGTGCGTGCGGGCCCACCCGAGAGGCACGGCGGTGCAGCCTATCCGGCTCCCAGCAGCGGCCCGGCACAGCAAACTAACACCAATTAAAGCATTGTCAGTCGACGGCCGCGGCGGGCGCCGGCAAAAAGGGAGCTCTCATGAAACGGGGCCTGGCCGCCCACCGCGGAGACCAGATGAGTTCCGGAGAGAGAGAGAGAGAGAGAGAGAGAGAGAGAGGAGAGAGAGAGAGAGAGAGAGAGAGAGAGAGAGAGAAAGAGAGAGAGAGATAGAGAGAGAGAGGAGAGAGAGAAGAGAGAGAGAGAGAGAGAGAGAGGAGAGGGGAGAGAGGCGAGAGCACTTCAGCAGTCGGGAGGCGGGGCGGAGGAGGAAC